CAGCTGCCCAGTCATCATCACCCTCTCCGAAGAGCTACTGGAAGACGCGCTGCTCTCCCGAGTTTTCTGGCAGCGCTGGAGGTGGCTTTGTCATCTTTGAGTTGTTGAAAGTGGCGGCTGCCGTCCAGTTCAAACAGGGCTGAACCTTGGAGAACATCCCAGATAGTCACGAGGCGGGCAAGGGGCTGAGATGCCCTGCTCAGTGGCCTTACGTCGCAGAAAAATCCTATGTGTTCTGCCCTTGTTTTACAAATGGGGGAAATTGGAGTCCCAAGAGGTAAAGCGACTTGTACAAAGTCACACAACCAGAAGTGTCATTAGAGTTCTAACTCCGCCCCAAAGCACTGCTTTCATTAATAAGGCTAATAGACTACACAGCAAGATAACCAAGAAACACCGTTAAGAGAAAAAAAAGGGCTAGTTTCATGACAGTATGTCTAATATGATCCTGTCTTCATATTGTTTTTTCAAACGTGTATATGTGTTTGTACGTTTTAAAAATTAAGGAAGATTATACATTAACCGTTTATCGCTGTTTTCTCTAAGAGGTGAGACTATAATAAGGAACTTTCACTTCCTAATTTTTACATTTTTTGTTTGAAATGTTTACAAAGTGCATATGTTTTCCTTAGCAGGGCAACAGCAACATCTTTGAGCCCTAATTTCCTCATCTATAAAATAATGATGATTTCTACTTTGCAGAGTAGTAATGAAAATTTAATAAGATAATGTAAAACTGCTTTGATCTGGATTAGCGAAACGCTGAAAGATAACACCGAACAAGCCTCAGCAAGACAAGGTAGAGATTTGTTCCCCGCTCTCTGCCTGCTTTACCTCTCTCCAATGGTGTAAGTGTCTCCCAGGCAAGAAAGAAGAGTCACCTCTGTGACAACAGGGAAACCAAACCAAATCCTACTTTGACCAGAATCTCAGATCATCAAAAGTGAACTTGGGAAATCTCAACAAGTGTCACCACCAAAGCCAACCCATACAGGAGGGTTGAGAATTAGATTTCTCTAAGGGCACCTAAACTATGCAACCACAGCTCCTACCTCCCCAGTTCCCACCTGCCCTGGCTATTACCAGACCAGAGCCTGTAAAACCAGCTAAGATTGGTTTTCTGATTAATGCAAGGCAGCAAATCTGGGCTGTAGCACAAGTGCTTTCCTCCATCAGGAATGTCTTCTCCTCGATACTCAATCCTTTGCCTGATTCTGCCCATAGCTGTTCACTTAAACTCCTACTGTCCTTTAAGACTCTGCCTAGTCATTATCCCTGGCCTTTACCCTTCCAGTATACTAGGTGTTTCCCATACTCTGTTCTCATGGCATAGCACCCTGTATGTGCTTATCACATCGCTTTGTAACTATCTGTCTCATCTCCTTAATTGTAAACTCCTGAGAGCAGAGAGAGTTGCTGATGCCTAGCATAGTCCCTTGAAAGTAAGTGCTCAATAGCTATTTGTTGAATTAATGAGTGAATTAAAGGGCCACAGCACTGCCTAAAACCCCAAGTTACATGCTCAGTACAGAATATCCGTTGTCATTGCCTTCAGCAGAGAATTTTTTCTTACTGTGGTCAGTGCCACAAAACCTTATGAGCCGTTCCGAAAACTGGAAGTGGTCTAACATGACCCACCTAGCAATTGATAACCCTCAACTTTGTCTTAGGAGACAGGCTGTTTACATGTTAATGTTTAGCTCACTGAAAATCAATGACATACAAATTGAAATCGATGAACTTTTCGCCTATCAAATTTGCCTTTTTTAAAAAACCTACTGCCCAGCGTTGATAAAAATAAAATGGGCATTCTCATAATGCTCCAGAACGATCAAAACCCCCCAAATATTCAAACTCTTGACAATGATTCCATTTCTAAAATTTCCCTTAGAGAAATAACTTTTAAAATTGCAAGATTCATGGAGAATGGGTTGTTTATGAGTGCAGGTTATTGGCAATAATGAAAGTCATTTATAATAGTAAACATCACTACTTAGAGACTACAGTGAGATACCCTCAAGAAACTTAGACATAAAGAAACTTCGTTTTCCACTGAGCGTTAAAGTACAAAATCAACTCAAGATGGATCGGAAACCAAAAATGCAAAGTCAATGGAGAGAGAGTAAAGCTACTGGGCTCACAGGACTTGATTGATGGCACCAGCTCCCAAATTAAATACAGTGTCACTCAGAAGAGGTTTTAAACACAGATACACAGAAATCAAGGGAGTGACCAAGGGTGGAGCCCATCGAAACCCTCATGCCCAGCTCTTTCCAGGATGTCCTGTGTTCTGTCCTATGACAAGACCATTCCCAAGGTGCAAAGGAGGCACTAGACCACTCAAAATTGGCCCATCAGAGGCATCCCACTTTTTTCTTGGTTCCAAGTTCACCAAGGGACCATCTACTTATCCTGGCACTTGACTACACGAAGAGTTGTGGCATTCTGGTGCCTTTCTCCCGATAAAGTAAAAGGGGGTTTCTGATGATGTTAGCCTTCCAATGTAGGTGGAAGGAGATGTTGTTTATGTCAGTGCTTCCATGAACAGTCCCTGTCTGTGTGACAGTTGTATTTCCCATTGAATGATGAAAAGAGTGGCATCCTGACGTCTCCCTCAGGCCCCCAGTGACATTAGTGTCTATCAGTCTTTCAGAACCTGCTAACTCCTGGGCCCTGCAAGAACCAGTTCCGGGTGGCCTGTTCTTCATACCAGCTGCACATGTAGGGGTCTATTAATGATGTCCACAGGGAAACAGAAATCTGAAACGATTAAAATGTTTAACATTAGGGAAAGCTTAAAGAAATTACACTACATCTGTCCATGCAATATTATGTAATCATTAAAAATCATGGTTTTTTAGACTATTTAATCACTTAGAGAAATAGTCACACTACATGTTAAAAATGTATGATTCATGCTCCAGAAAAAGATTCTGGCAGGTTCTTATAAATTAGACATGTAATTACTATACAAATCAGTAATTGTACTTGTGGGCATTTATCCCGGAGAAATGAAAACTTACCTCCACATAAAAGCTTGTTCACAGCTGCTTTATTCTTAATTGTCAGAAACTGGAAACCACTGAAATGTCCTTCAACTCTTTCTAGTAGAAGCTGAAATAAACAGGGCCAACAGGCAATACGGGGACCCAGATCATGGCTATCTTACTTCACCTTCTCTGGTTAAATAAACTTTGATACATCTATACCATGTGATACTATTCAGCAATAAAGAGAAACGACCAACCTGAGTGGATCTCAAGGAAATTATGCTGAGTGAAAAAAGCCAATTCCAAAGGTTCTATACATACCAAAAGGTGTGATTGCATTCGTATAACATTTTTGAAAAAGCAAAATTTAGAGAATCTGGAGAACAGATTAGTGGGTGCCAGGGGTCAGGGATGAGACCTGAGATGGGGGGATATGAGAGGAAGGGGGTGTGATTATAAAAGGGCAAAATGAAGTCCCTTTGTGGAAATGAAACTGTCCTGCATCTTGACTGTGGTCATGGGTGTGTGAACCTACATGTGTGTTAAGATTGTAGAGAACTAAACACACAAACACATACACACAAATGTGGACAAGTAAGACAGGGAAATCGAAATAATATTGATAGATTATAAATGTCAATATCCCAATTATGAGACTGTGCTATAGTTTTGCAAGACGTTATCATCGAGGAAAACTTGGTAAACGGTACATGAGATCTTTATATTATTTCTTATGACTGCACATGAATCTATAATTATCTCAAAATAAAAAATTTAATTTTAAGAAGTATGATACAGAATTGTAGGTGCAATACGAGTGCTTTATATATTTTTTGATATATACATACACAAAAAATATTTACAATTATTGGCTTTAGGTAGTTGAGGTGTTGGATTTCATGGGTGATTTCTGACTTTGTCTTTACATTTTTTTATAGTTCTCAAATTCCTTACTATGAGTGCATATTCATTTCATTTTATAAAGAATATCTTTAAACATAGCATCTTCATTGATCATAATGACCATATCTTAGTTCAATTCACATGAAGATTTTATCAACTAATCTCAAAAACTTTTAAATATGAACTACTGCTAAACTAGGAATTCTCAGTCGTGTTTATACAGTTCAGTTTTTGGAACCAAATACAGGACCTCATACCTGAACTCTGATGATCAAATTGCGTCATTTCTCTGGCTCCCAGCTTCCTCATCTGCAATGTAGAGGCCTTGGGTCAGAAGCACCCCGAGGTCCGCAGGCCTCATGCTGGTATAAGGCACCAACTGAGAACCTTGGTCTGTCTGGAGATCATGGGTCCCCAAAACTGAAAGTGAACCACCTTCTCTCAGGCCACTGTGAGCAAATCCCTTGAGGAGTAGTTCGAGTTAGAGCAAGAGCCTGCCTCTCTGTCTCACACCTCTGCCTTCCGCTCCAGAAGGCAGCAAAGGCCCCACCTGCACAGGGCAGTAAACTGCCAATAACGGCACTAGACTGCCAGCAGTAGGAATCCGTCAGCTTATGAGTCTATAAAATCATTCATTTTCACTGCTGGAACAGTCCAAGTCTCCTAGGTTAATAAGTAATACGGCCTTTGCAAACATCAAGTGGAGGACAGCATAGGGGAATCCCATGTCTGCTGGCACACTTCCTAAAAAACAACTCCTTGCCCCGTGCAATCCTGCTTCCACTTCCTGCAATTGCTAAGCCAGCTTCTCTGTCTCTCTCTGTCTCTCTCTCATATATATAAACATATATACACATATATATGTATATATGTAATAATAATAAGTATTATTATTCTCTGGAGAATCCTGACTGATACACCTTGCCAAGGGTTTCTTCACTTTCAAGTGCATTCGCCATTCCCTTACAGTTGTCTAATCTATGGATTATTATGCAGCGGTGAAAACGGATGCAGTAGATCTCCAGGTACAGCTACAACTGCATCTCCAACTCAAAATACTGAGTTGAAGTATTTTGTAACAGCAAGTTGTAGAGTGATATTCTTATGTAAACATCTATCCTCCAAAAACTCACAAAACAAAACCAGGAACGAGGGAAATATACCTGTAAATATGTAAACGTCTAGCAAAAGATCTGGAAGCATTCATACCAAACTAATAACAGTTGTTAATTCTATAAGGGTGAAGAAAAAAGCAGGGTGGGGTCAAATGTTTTTATTTTTTACAAAGGAAATATGTATTTTTGAGTAATTAAAGTTAATTTTATAAAGAAAATTAATCAAGGAGTTGACCAATGATTTGATTTCTAAGAAATAAACCCACCTGACCCATGGTCATGTTACTGTGGGCATGAATTTCAGGGCAGGCTCTGTGTTGCTGTGGTGGGGCGGGGGTGGGGGGGGATGTTTGCAGAGTGAGGGGCTTATGCTACTGTGAGGGGGATATTTCAAGACAGAATCTCTGTTAGCATGAGGGGGGCGGTATTTTAGGGCAGGGTCTATGCTGCTGGGGGGAAGTATTCAGGGCAGGATCTCTGTTACTATGAGGGGGTTATTTCAGGACAGAATCTATGTCATTATGAGGCGGATATTTCAGGGCAAGATCTACTGGGAGGGCGGGGTCAGGGTCGGAAGGTTACAGTGTGTGTGTGCACGTGTTGCTGGGGAGAATTCTGATTGTATCTAAAGCTGGTGAGACATCACCAGGAGATTTCAAGGTCACCAGGAGGTTCATGAGCAGAGCCTTCTGCCTCCTAGCTGTGGGGAAGGTTCACCGAAGTAGACAAAAGATCTTCATTTTCGGTAAAGAAATCAGGCTATTGCAGGTAAGGAACCCTCTTAGTAACATCCCATCCCAAACTGCATTTCTTCTAGGTACAGATGTGCTCCCCAGTGAGGTGCAACCAGGGAGGCAGGTGTATGAGGAGGTGGTGGTTGAGAGATGGGGTGGCGGGGCGGGGGGGGTGCGTGACTAGATGGAAGGCTGGCCAGGTCTGTTTCTGAATGTCTGTAAGTCAGAGCTGCACAGACTCCTGAATACCCCCTCTACCCGAGGCATCCCAGCAACACTGTGGTGGAAAGCCAGGAGCGGGGCCGGGGGAGTAGAAGGGGAAAAGCAGTCCTCTGGGCCCTCAGAGACCCTGGGTCAAAGGCTGCCAGAGGGCCAGAAGGGGCAGGGCCTTGACTTAGGCAGAATTTTGGAATGAAATGATAATTTTATATTTACCTTGAAAAGGAGAGGAGAATAGACTCTTACTGAGCACTTTCTGTGTGAATAGTTTCTTTATACATAACTCATCATGTAATTTAACGTTCCTCCAAAATCAGAAGTTGAATTTCAGGAGTGCTGACCGCATGCCAGATACACTATCTACATGCTATAGGTTGGGCTCGTTTATGGTCCACAAGGTCACTGTGAAGTGGATCCTGGATTAGAATCCAAGTGCATATACCTCCAAGCCTGTGCTGCTTCCCCTAGACCACGTGACCTCTGTTTGACCCCCTGCCACAGGGAGAAATAGCTTTTCAGGGAGCAGCAAAGGGGCGCACCAGGCCTGGCTGCTGCTCAGAGTGTAAAACTGATAAAGTGGGATTGTGACCCTCATGACATATTTAGGGGCACAGGGATTCAAGCAAAAAGACACCTAAACACAAAAATATATTTTATGTTTTTGGGGGAAATGATTTTTTCCCCCCTAAATTGGAAGAAAGCTTGCTTCCTACTGCCCCAAAGAGTGAGCACTTTTTCTCTTTCTTTCTTGTTTTATCCAGCACTTTTAAAGGTCTTTTCAGTGACCTCTTCTTCCCATTCCCATTTCTTTCTCCCTTATTAAAAACATTCCCCTCTCCCTGCTTTTATGCGTCTCTCGGTTTTCGTGACATCTACATATTTTAATCTTTTCCTCTGAGACCCAGAGCCTGTGCCCTGGACCCTTTATTTAAGATGTCTTCGCTAAAACTTAGGGTCACCGTATAAGATAGGTGGCATAGCCCCGTTTGAAGGATGATGAAACTGGGTCTCAATGGCAGGTGAGTGGAACTAGTTGGAGGACATCTATTTAGTTCTGTGTAGGCACTGAGGTGACGCAGATGCCTCCCTGTCCCTCCCAGCATCCACTTGAAAAGGAGCCGTCGCTCGGCAAGGTGAGAAGGTCAGCCTCGCCTTCCTCCACGCTCTTGGCCTTTTTGTATCGCCTTCGGACTTCATGTTACATTATACATTGTTTCTTCCACCGCCCGAAACCTCATTGGCCCGCAACCAAGCGCCCCCATTGGCTGTGGGGGCCAGGGACACGCTGCGATTGGTCCCTGCTCCATACAGAGGCGCTAGGTCTGTCTTCTGGCCCTGGGCAGAAGCAGCGGTCCCCAGTCTGACTGGTGCGAGGCCGGTGATCACTGTCATCGCCGTCACTGCTGTCACCATTGTCGAGGTTTCAGGCGGCCTCTCATGTCGTGTGCCCATCACCCAGAGTGTGAGTATTGACTAAACGGCACTTGGTTGTGTGACTGGTTTTGTACAAGCGAATTGATCACGTCGGTGCAGCTGAGCAGGTGAACATTTAGGTCTGGTCCAGACTTTAATTTGAGCAGTTGTATATGTCATCGCGACGGCCTATATATTTCTGTGAATAAGTTTGGATTTTTTTTTAATTTTTATTTTTTTACGTAATCTGATAATTATCAAAGGAAGCTAGCTGCCTGTGCGTGCAAAACATCATCGAGCGTATTTGTATGCGTTTGCCTAGGGTTTGCTAATGAGAACGGATCACACTTGAACGTTTTGTAGAGTGCTCCTTAAAAATGACTGAAAGTTTCTCTGAACTTTTTAATATTTTTAAAAATTTAGTTTAAGGAGTTTTTTAAATGTCAGCTCTAAGCGGGTATTAAGTAGTGTTTGAATAGGAAAGTATTTGGTAATGAAAGTCTGCTTCGTGTTATAGATGAGAAGTAATAAAAATACGGCATGACATTATGAATCTACACAAAATGCCTTTTTAGAAGAACTCGTCAGTGAAGCAGTCTTCTAGGTTATGCTTATCAGGCTAATCTGATTAACAGGTTTGATTGCAGTAAAAGGTTTTTAAAAGGGAAAATTCGTGAGGGCTATGGCTATTCTGAAATGCCTAATTGTATTTTTGGCCCCAGTTTCCTGCAGAACGAATGGACCTGGTACAGAAAAAGTGCCCCAGAAACATTTTTCCATGAAACCGCAATCTTCAGAATTCCTTAAGATGTAGCTTCCTATACTGCTAAGTGCTCTGTGTTCCGCTTCTGTCGGAATGAGTGCTTACGCTACTTGTCCTTGCTCCAGATAGTCCAGAATCACAATTACCTTAAAGAGGTGGAAAAGACTTTTTCACCTCCTTCATATAAGTAAAGAAATTAAGACCTTAGAGAGGTTTCTTGGCTTGTCCAAAGTCACATGGCTGGTTAACACAGAGCTAGAATTATGACCCAGGTCTCCAGCCAACCCAGCCTGTCTTCCCTACATCAGGTCATCCCATTAGATGGCCAAGTACCATACTGAGTGCATCCTTGCATCATTCCAGCCACCATGGATTCTTAGGACTAGCTTCCTTCCACCTAGTACCTATGTACTGAGTTCTCTTGATTCTTACACCATTTAGATGCCCAAATCTGCTCAGTTTTCTGAGTCAGAATAGGATATCCAGGTTCTTACCCCTGTACAAATCCCTTCCCTCCCCTCTTATGTGGCAGCTGGCCAGCCTCACCTTCAAAAACCTTTTCAGGTTCTCAAATGTGCATGCCTGTCACCACGAATCATGCCAAGAACTGAATCATGAGATTGTTAGGATCCATAGAGTTCTTTTGGGTTAAGGTGGAACTAACTGTTATTCCCTGCCCCACAAGGTTTTTTCTTGATCTTCAGTTCCCTTAGTTCTTTCAACCCAGTGCCTCTGCTCATCCCCATGTCTGGGTGATTTGATCTTAGCTTTCTAGGCCACAGAACTCTGAGTGGTTTTAGTCTGGGAGAAGCAGCTGGGAAAAGGAGTGTTGGAGTTAGCCACATATGCCTCCCCATGGTACACACCCTGGGAGGATGCCTTAGGTGCTGGCTACATGGGTCATGACCAAGGACCTTACAAATTTGTTGGCAAAACAAGATCAAGTTAGAAACTAGTGTGGACTGGGGCTGGGAAACTTCTTAGAGGAATTGGAACTTAAACTTTGACTCGAAGGACCAGTTGACTCTAGATAGGTAGAAACTGGGGTGGGAGCATTTTAGGTAAGAGGAAAGGCAATGGGCCACAGAATAGAGGCTGGTGGGCAGGAGAGCAAATGTTTCTTTTGTCAGTTGTGAGAGAAAGGGCAAAAGGGAGTTTCAGAGTTTTCAAGGCTGTTAAAACGCAAATCTCCAAACTCAGACTATACTTTCTACATTGCTCTAATTCCTTATAGTGCTAGGACCAGTGTCCTTAACACACTCTGCATCTGAGTAGGACTTTAGGGAGAAAATGTTTGTTTTGTTTTGTTTTAAATAAAAGATCACTTCTCGATCCCATTTTTACAGTTAATTCCCCCAATTCTAGCAAAAGAGCCAACCTTGGAATAAGGTGGAGGTGGGTCCTGCCCTCCTCTCTCCGATCAAGACTGTGACTTCTGTGGCAGGTGTCCTGGGCAAGCCATACCTTCCACATACTTCCACAGGTCACAGATGCTGATGGGACAGATCCAACTGTATTATTGCAACAAAAAGCTCTGTCTGAAAAATATCAGCCTAAGCTCCTGTCAGGTCCACAGTGCGAGTCAATAAAGATCATTTAAAAAGAATGCCTTAGCAGATCATAGCAAATCATTACTAGGGAGAGCGGGAGGCAGCATTTGGAACCTGGATATGTTAAATTGCACAAGGTCTAATCAAGCTTAACATCTGTTTAGCTCAATTCTACCCTTAAAGCAGAGTGGAAAGATCTTCTCCCATCTTCTCTGTGGTGTTCCCCACCTCCACCCAGCTCCTGACCCTGGGAGCCTGGGGCGGGCAGCATGAGGTGGGGGCCACAGCTCCCAGCAGCCGGGCAGGATGCTTTGGTGCCATTTCCCTCCCCTAGAGGGCAGTGAAGGCTGCCCCCAGGGGTAGCCAGTAATGGGAGGGTCTGCCCACTATGGGAGAGGCAGAGGGCTACACCCTTATCCAGTGACTAAACATGATCAAACAGCCATTCAGGTATTTCAGGGGGAGTGTGTTTGGGTGGAGACTTGAGAGGAAACCCAAATTTGATACCAGCATTGGCACTGGGAGAGCTCCAGATGACCCACAAGCCCAAAGGCCTTTGGTATTAGTATTTCTAGACTATCGAAGAATTCGAGATCCTGGGAAGACCTGGTATTTTTACCTCCATTCGTTGACTTAAATTCTCTGGTGTCCAGACACACTCATTTCTCTTTAATTTAAAGAAGTAAAGAGAACCTGTGTTCTTAAGTTCAAAAGGTTCTCATTTTGCCCTAAGCAATTCAAAACCTTTACTGCTTCAGTTTGCTCCCTATCAAAGATTGGCTGGTATCTGGAAATTGAAGACCGTAATGACGTGGCCTCCAATTTAAGCCAGCCCTGGGGCTGGCTTGGCCTCTGCACATTTTGTGGTTGTCCTCCCCACACTGATGGTGTAAGCCCTGGTAAGAAAGCTTACAGGAGCTTACAAGGACCAGCACGGGCCCCTACAGCAGCACCCACTTACCATCTTCCTGCCGAGGTTCTGAGAAGCAACCTGAGGGGAAGCAGACATGTTGGTGAAGACCACATTGCTGATGGGAGATTGGCTTTCTGACCAGAAAGGTGTTCTCAAATCCTGCACTGCCTGATCGCGTTCAAAAATGAACCCTCTGGCCGATTCTCCCCCTGGACCTTAGCGGCAAAGCTTTCTTCTGCTGCGAGCTGTGGGTGCTTTGAGAGAGAGGCTACCACGAGTGCCCTAGCGGTGGCTCGAAGTCTCCGAATGACCTCGGGGGCGTGTTGCCGAGGGTGGGGCTGGGCATGTATGTTTTCAACCATCTCCTCCAGTGACTGACATACATCCAAACTGGCCAAGGTCATGCATTGTCCTATGCAGCAGGACTGAGCTCGGGGGAGAGGAAACCTCCCATTCTAATGCACTCCAAAACCCAGCGCTGAGTGCCAAGTAGGATGCAAAGGTGATGGAGACGCAGCCTCTCTGCTCAAAGAGCTGGCAGAGCAGTGGGGAGCCAGCTTTCCTCTGAGTGGTAGGCTAAGTGCCTGGTGGAGGGGTCCATGGCTCAGGTAAGAGACCCTGGTCATTAAAACTGCTCCATATCAGTCCCAGCATCGCTTCTCCTAGAGAAGGGCTCCTGGTCCGTACACTCAGATGTGACAGAGGACAACGTAATGATCATCTTCAGAACCCACTAAAAGCAGGACAAGGCAAGCGCCCTTCTACTTCTCTGCCACCATGTGACTTTTTGCTTTCACGGGTAGACGAGTGCATTCTCTTCTTTTCGAGTTACAATGGATATACAGAAAAGTCCACAAATCAAAAGAATACACCTTGATCGATATTTTAAAATATTTATACACCTATGTGACCTGTACCCAGAACAAAGTGTTGGGGGGGTGGGCATTCTTGCGGTAGAAAGGCTCTCAAAGGGTGGGACATGTACCTGCTCAGCTTTCAACAGACTGTAAAGGACAAGATCTTAGGGTATGGCTCTCCTTGGCCACAACAGTCAATTAACAAGTGTCTGGTGAGTACCTACAACGTTCTGGAAACTTCCTGGTGTAAAGCAGCAGAGCCCTTCAACCGTAAGTCAGATGTGAGCAGCTTGTGTTTTTAGGAGTCGAGCTTAAACAACAGATCTTGCGTCCTCTGCCATTAATCGCATACCTGTTATTGATGCTATTCATCGATTTGGGTCTTTTTACTTGGGAGTGGTACCTCCTTTTCTCCCTGCTTCAATCTGCCTTCCTTTTTCTTTAATACTGTGTCTTTATTATTCAGGGCCAAAAGAAAGCATCTTATTTACGTAGTGGCTTATAATGGCGACCTCCGGAGAAGGCAGCAACCCTGGGGGCAGGGCAGGGCCCCGGCCCCTGGCGCAGCTGCAGGAGCTGGAGCCTCGGGTGGCCCGCAGACGCCTGTCCCAGGCCCGCCACCGTGCCACCCTGGCAGGGCTCTTTAACATCCTCCGGAAAACCGTGTACTCCCAGTCTGATCTCACAGCCTCGAAGGTATGGGGGACCCGAGTGTGGGGAGGTAGCGTTTCCACACGCAGAGGGACTGAGGAGCAAAGTGGGGACTGGTCTGGGACTCCCACCGCCCCCCTAGCCCTGAGGGCTGGGGCCTGGGTGGGTCAGCGGTCCGCTGAGGACACCTCACCGTGGTCTGTCTGCTGCAGTCTCGCTGTGCTCACTGCCCGGCTCCGTGAGGCTTCTCGGTCCCTTGAGTTGGAGGCCGTCATTTCCACAGCCGTTCACGTCCACCCGTTTTTAGTGTTTACAGAATTCTAGCTTGTAGGAAGAGTATTGTTTCCATGCTCACTTTCCCTGTTGGAATGTCCACGCCCTGAAGGCAGGGACTGTCCCCAGGCTTAACACACAGCAGTGTCCCTTGTATGCACGTACCTGATGAATGTATGTCGCTCCAGACAAGTATCAGTGGTAAGCATAATAAACAATATTTAACATTTTTCATTTTTAAATAATCTTACAGTTATCATTTTGACTTTAGTAATATTACATATAGGAAGGAAGGAGGGAGGGAGGGAGAGAGGGAGGAACAGGAGGAAGAAGGAAGGAAGGAAGGAAGGAAGGAAGGAAGGAAGGAAGGAAGGAAGGAAAGAAGGGAGAGGGGGAGGGAGGGAGAGAGGAAGAAGAAGAAGGAAGGAAGGCTTATGAGTCTAGTCTTGCAGAACAGGAAATTCAGAGTTTAGACTGACAGAGCATTTAAGTTTTTAGATCAACTGGAGTGTATGCATTTAGCAAATAAAAATATTGTTAGAATAGCACATTTAATATTAACGTGACGATCGAGCAGAAGGTAGTGTGGGGGGCCTGTGCCAGCCTGGGGCTGATCCCCGTTCAGACTGCCTCTCAGTCACCATTTATTCCACCTTCAAGCAGCATATGGAGCTTTTCGCCTTTTTGCAGCCCTAGTAGTTTGCTGAACGCAGCTTGTTTCCAAATACTTTGGTATTTCTGTGAGAATCATTTCCAGGATACGAATGAAACGTCATGCCTTCTGCGCATCAGAACAGACTTCCTACCCTTTTTATCGACAATGTCAGGGACTGTGGCTCTGCAGCTGAGGGAACATGGCCTCAGACCGGGGAAGGGGCTCCTGTGTCCACAAAACCAGTCTCTGCAGTGGGAGGCTGACTTTTCAGCATCCTCTGCCTCTGTTCTCAGTGGCAGGTGTTGAATAAGGCGAAGAATCATATTCAGGATCTGGAACACACTTTGGATAATCTGCTGCAGCTGAAAGGTAATAGGTCCTACCTGCCACTCCCCGTCTCTCTTCTAGGGAAAGCCAGTTGGTTTTTCTATTGAAAACAGAGAGACGGGGTTAAACTAAGTGAATGAATCTTTGCTGAGTGCCTGCTGCACAGCAGGCACTGTGCTTGGGCCAGGGGTACGATGAGATTCACGGGCTGTCCTTAGTGCCTACAATTTGGCAAGACAGACAGAAGTCACAGGCTGTACAGGCATGCATGATGAGATCCTAGCGGGGTGCTGTTGAAGAGTACCCGATCTCATCTCGGCAAGCCGGAGAACCGGACCACTGTTTGTCAGAACCTGGCTCCCTTCGTTGGCACTCACTTTGGGAGAGATGGATGCTGGTGAAATATGATTTAATAAGCGGATGGAAGCTGAACTCTGAAAGAGATACTTTGGATGTCTCGATTGAGACGGGCCAGTCCAAGAAGCCCTTCCCTCTGGTCTAGTGCTGTTCCCTCAAATCTAGAAAGAGGGGTGAAACTGGGCTCTCGACTTCCTGACACTAAATGGGGGTGGGCTCAGGGACCCACGTACGCTCCACCTGGACCAGAAAGGCAGGGGAGACTCGACGAAGGCCCGACTTTGCCTTTTGCGCCTTTGCCTTCAACTCCCCAACAGGCTCCTTCAACCTGGAGGACGGGCATGCGAACAGCTTAGAGGAGGTCAAGGAAGAATATGCCAGCATGTACTCCAGGAATCACAGGTAGGACCCTGGGCACCAGGAGAATCAGAGCTTGCTGTTCTTTTCCTGTCCTCCTACGTCACAGCTACTCCACTTACCCCAAAAAATGCAGGACAGAGGAACAGGTGCTACTCACCCCCATTAAAACCGTCTTGCGCTGGAAAGAATTCTTGTGTGTTTTAACCTAATAACATGCATTAGATTTTTTTTTCTCATTTTAAAAATCCACGCTTATTACAGAAAATGTCAAAAATACAGAAAAAGGCCAAAAAAGAAAATAAATACAATATGTATCGTTTCACCTCTCAAGGAAAACCAGTGCTAATTTCAAAGCATATCTTTCTAGATTTTTAAATTTTGCATATTATCTATAGAGAGTTGGGATGATAGCGTTCCTATTGGATTATAGGTTTTAAAAAACTCAACTAATGGCATTGTTGAAGGATGCATGTGAAAAGAAGGAAAATCTAAATCTCATCCTGCTTCCCAAGCTTCATAGAAGCTAAGAGAAGCCAAATTGGATTTCAGAGAGTCGAAGAAACCATAGCTCACGCGGGTGTCCCAGAGGCAAAAGGGGAACCTCGTTTATAATGTCACACTCAGACTTTGAAAGACAGACTGATTTGAGAAACATCTTTCTTGTCCTATTGTTGTGGGTGGGGTTACTGATAACTTTTATTTTCTTCTCTGTGCTTTTCTGTATTTTCCAAATTTTTTAAACTACAAATGTATGTTATATCCTAAGGGGAAATAATCAAGGGGAAATGACATATTATTAAATTAAATTAAATTCACACTGTAGACGATATGAAAATATAGAAAAGTATAAAGAAGAAGGCCATGATCACCTATAGTCACACTCCATACACCATTTTGGCCACAGAGGGGAGGAGGCAGGGGTGTGTGTGTGTGTGTGTGTACGTACACACCTGACAGGGTGTTTGCAGCTGAATTTTACAAATTAGCCTGGGAGAAGGTCTCAGTGTGGTAGGCATCTGCACTGGCGTTACTCAAATGGTTAGCCAGTGATCCCCATACCATTTATTACATAAGCCATCCTTTCCTTACTGGTTTAAGATACAAAATTTATCACATACTAAAGTCTTATCAATATCTGTCTTATTTGCCCACATGAGAATGGCTGAATTTCTTTTAAAATCCTAATAGGGGTGATTTTTCACTAGGAATATTATAAACCTACAATAATTAAAACTGTGGTACCAGCATAGGAATAGATTAATTAGTTATATTATAATTAGTTCTTTAAATTATGAGTGAGCTTAAGTGCCTTTGTTCAAGATCATTTGTATTCTTCTTCCTAGGAGCTTTTTGTATCTATTCTTTGCCCATTTTTTTCTGTTGGTAGGTTTATCTTCTTTAACTATAGAAGCTTTTTATGTATACCAAGAAATTATCTCTCTAGTATATGACTTGCAAACAATTAGAAAGAAAGAAAGGAAGAAAGAGAGAAAGAAAGAGAAAGAAAGAAGAAAGAAAGAAGAAAGAAAGAAAAAAATCCTATCTTTTCTTATGGCTCACTTGCTTTTCAACTCAACACGATACCTTGGGGGATTATTCCTATTGGTATAAAGAGATTCTGGGGACAAGTCCTAGTTTTCCAAATTGTGTCATGTTGTTTCATTCTCTTAAATGTGTATTTTAAAGAGGAGAATTTCAAAATTTTGATGAAGTCCACCTTATTCATTTTTTCTCTTATAGATTGCACTATTGGTGTACATCTAAGCATTCCATGTTTTTTGGTGCTAGTATAAATAGTACTTTTCAAAATTCCAATTTCCAAGTGTTCATTGCTTATGTATAGAAATGATTTTGATGTTTGTTTATCGACCTTGTGTTCTGCACCCTTACTAAAGTCCCTTCTTAGTTACAGTCATATGTTTGTAGGTTCTTTGGGATTTCCTACATGGTCTGAAAATAAAGACAGTTTTATTTTTTCCTTTCCCATCTGTATACCTTTTATTTCTTTTGTTGACCTTATTGGGCTGCCTAAAATCTCCAATACGATTTTGAATAGAAGTGGTAAGGTGGATCTCCTTGTCTTGTTCCTGACCTCAGGGAAGAAACATTCAGTCTTTTACCATTACATGTGATTTCAGCTGTCGCTTTTTTTGTAGATGGCCTTTATCAAGTTGAAGAAGTTCCTTTCTATTCCTAGTTTGCCGAGAGTTTTTGTCATGAATGAATGTTGAATTTTGCCAAGTGCTTTTTCTGCATCTGCTGAGATAACCATATGGTTTTTCTTCTTTAGTCTGTTGATACACTAAGTGACATGGATTGATATTCAAAGTTTGAGGCATCCATCTAAACTCCACCTGGTCACGATGTCTTAACATACATATATATTCTGAAATGGTGTTAAGAACTTTGGTGTCAGTGTTCACGAGGGACATTCACGTGTAGCTATCTTGTTTCTGTTTTCTCCCCAGCCTGGTCTCAAATAAGGTTCGTAAGAAAAGCTTTGCCAACTGGTGCTCCATGGAGGCCATGGAGAAGGGTGCTGAGGAGGAAGAAGAGGAGGAAGACTCGGAAGAGGAGGAAGACCTGGAGGAGGAGGAAGACCCGGAGGAGGAGGAAGTGGAAGAGGACAAAGTGGAGCCCCTGCACTCCCCTGTCACCTTGTCACCAGACCTCATGGAATTCGAACGGTGTGAACAGCCGGGACAGGTGGCTTCGTGCGGAGCTCCCGTGGAGAAGGGGACAGAGCCTGAGTCGCGGACGCTTCAGAATTCCCATGCGGGAGGGGCTTGAGGACCGGGTTGGCAGAAGGGCCAAACCGATAGTCTTGAAGCTATGTTTGCATAGCAGCACCTACGCTGCGTTTACTTAGACTGCGTGTTAATTCGGGGTGCCTTTGGGGGGTGGTTGATGGGGATTATGAGGGCTGATGCCGCCCCCTACACACACCCCACAAGTCTGTTTTTGGCAGCCTCACTGGTCTCATAGTAAGCAAGATGACAAGTGGCTGGCTCAGGCTCCCACTGCCACTCATGGCCCTGCCAGACTTGAGGCCCGTGGCCGCTAGGCTGGCGCTGGAGCATCGGCTCAGCAGAAGGAGGCTCACTCCACAGCGGAGCTGACTCCCAGGCCTCAGGTTAAAGCGGGTGTCATGTCTGCATGCTCATGAGCTTGGAATCTAAGCAGTTTTCTGTCGGGTGAGAGCTGAGCCAGCCACGCCTCTCACCCTCTCTTCTGCTGGGCAGAAAGCTTCACAGGAGGCACTGGGAGGCTTGGGGAAGGACTCAAGCACACATCTGTCATCCATGGCCCCCAAGATGGCTTCTGCTCTGCAAAGGTCGGGGCAAACAGAGACTAGCAAGGCCAAGCGCCTGGTACATCACAGAGCTGTGGCCAGGCCCGTATGGGGTGCACCACTCAGCAAATGGCACCCCGAGGACATAGCGTAGGGAGGGACCTTCGGCCTCCAGCTTCAGGTCTGGGAGATGGTGCCGTTTCTGTTCCAGGTATCTCAACTTTTACAAGCACACCATGGACCTTCTGATCAGGAATGGGATTGTGTCCTCTCAGGAGGTCACACTGCCCATCGTCTCTGCGGCCATCTCCCACCTGTGGCAGAACCTGTCCGAGGACAGGAAGACCAGTCTCCTGCAGGCCTGGGCGCAGGAGCACAGTGGCCTCCCGGGCCTCCCGGGGGCCTGTCAGGAGACGGCCTGCACCGAGGGCAGCATGAAGGACAGCGGAGTTGACAGCCAAGGGGCCAGCTGCTCGCTGATGTCATCCCCGGAGGAGGTGAGCGGCCCCTGTGGGATGGGGTGGAGGGCTGCACAGGATGGGCTCTACCACCCCGGGCTCGGAGACACCAGGGACCTGCCTGCCCGGGGTCATGTGGCAAGTTTCAGATGCTGTTTGGATCCTGGCTCGCACGGTCAATTTCTGATTTTCCTGACATAATTAAGACTAGAGAACAGCATTTCTTTTTCTATTAGTTTCTTGGTCTTTCCATGGGGATTATAGAAGAGAAGGCGCAGAAGGTTGTATCAGTTAGGATTCTTTTGGCTGCAAGTTACTGGCTCATTAAACCCTGCAGAAATGTACTACCTACACCCAGGAGGTCCCAAGGCAGGGGAGGCTTCCGGTTAGTGTCTCGGTGATGTCACCATGGACAGTTCATCCCCTCTCTTTGCTTTGCTTCATCTTAAGGCTGGTTTCTTACCTGTTCTCTCCTCCCCACTTTCCCCGACCCCGGAACTGTGACTGGCAGCTAGTAGCAATCAAGCTCTCATTCTATCTCCTCCACATCAGGTAAAAGAAAGATTTCTTAAGGGTCAAGGAAGAACTTTTCCAGAAATTTCCACCAAACCTCTCCTCTCTCATTGGCCAGACTTGGCCAGATTGCCAGATTACTGAGCCAATGACTGGCACAATCGAGATAGGATTCTGTACCTTTGGACCAATCAGGCCCAATCCCTGAGAAGAGGTCAGTTCTCACCCCAAAGCGCATTGCTGCCACTGGACGAAGTTGGTTTGGGCCAACCCAGGGCTGGTGACCAGGTGAGTGGGAGAGAGAGCAGTTATGCCCAAGGTAGGGACAGAACCACAGTAGTTGCTGCTGTGGCTTCTATATTAGTTGCAGTGAAACCTCTGTAGCTCCTGGTCCATCTGGAAGGATTCTCCCGTGCGACAGTTGTGTGTGGGGCCGGCCCCTGGACTCGGGGACAGGTGTGCCCAAGAGCTGTGCCCTTCCAGTGCTGAAGAGGCACAGCCCCATGAGTGTGCTGCGTGCTCCAGAAGGGCCACGGAGCCTGGCCCTGCCCCTCCCAGCCTGGCTTGCCAGAGGGTTTGCTCGGTGAGGACAGTTAATTTGGTGGGTGGACTGGTTGGGGGCAGGCATTTAGGTCCTAGGTCCCTGCCCCAGGCCTGTCGGGAGGAACACAGGGACGATAGGCTTCCAGGCTGATGGACATGGGCGCTCAGGCCTTTCAGTGACCTCTTTCCAGATCCTGTTTGGGATGACCAAAGGGATACCAAAAAGAAGGACACCAGGAAATGTCCAGAAAGCCAGGAGCGGGGAGGTATCCCCATGGCTAGAGTCTCGAGGGATTCAGTTCAGGGGAAGCAAATTGTAAGGCGACGTGAAGGGAGACACAAGGCGGGGTGCCATCTGCGGGAACGAGGTGCCAGCTCCAATACAGCATCCCAGTGAAATATTTAATGTCAGAATAGCCCATGCAATTCATATCCAAAATTCAAATTTAACTGAGCAACCTGCATTTTTATTTGCTAAATCTGGCAATCGCATTCCTGTGGAATAGTTAATATTCTTCCACAGATTAAGAAAAAGCAGAGCCAAAAACTGTCTCAATAGCAAGGTTCCCAAATTGGGAATGTACGATAAAATATGCCTATGGAAAGGATGGAAGGAGATAGATCGATACGGCGACGATGATTGTTTCTCGGTGATTTTTATTTTCTTTATCCGTTTCTATTTTCCAACATGTGTTTCTTTTATGAAGCAGATAATATTCAAAACTAGCGAACACATTTGAGCCGTGATTATGCGCCAGATGTTTCACACATATTATCTTATTTAATCCTTGCAACTGCCCTGCAAGCAGGCGCTGTGGCGATTCCAGTTTATATAAAGGAGAATTCGGAAGATGAAGTCACTGTCCAAGGTCACAGGCTTAGTGAGTGGCAGGGCTGGACATCGACTCTCCTGTGGCCTAAGTCCATAGCCACCTGGACCTTCCTACTCAGCTGCCCTGACACGAAACTGCTAGATTGTCAATCCTGGGCTCCAATAGTCTCACCACCTTGGGAGGTGTAGACGAGCCCTTTTCCACTGTAAGCTGAGCTCAGCTCTGGCTGTTGCATCTCACACCTGAGCTCTGCCTTCTTTGGAAAGAGGACACCACGGTCCCCAGGACTCCCCTGTCCTCTCAGCCACCTCCGGGGTTGGCAGTTTGTTCTGGGTGGGCAAGAACTTAATAGTCATGTCCTGGGAAGGTCACCAAGCAGAGACCCTTGGATTGGGCCCTGCCTTACCAGCCATGCCCTTCAGGGCTGATGGTAGAGAGGGAGAGCCCTCCAGCTCGTCTCTCCCCCAGCCGCCCAGAGCAAGCGTCAAAGTGCAGTTATTTCTGCCACATGAAGTTCTGTGCCTTCTTTCAGCTCCTTTTTGAAGATGCCTTCGATGTGGCAAGTTTCCTGGACAAAAGTGACGCTCCAAGTACATCCAGCTCTAGGTGAGAAAGAGGCGTGAGGTGGTGTGTGTGTGTGTGTGCGTGCACATGAGTGTGTGTGTGAGCGTGTGTCCCCCGCTGGGATGTTTAGGACCCTCTCCCCAGCAGGCCCTCAGTGCAAGTTCTTAGAAATCCACTTTTTTCTGAGATTCGAAGTGGGCTGATCCTAAGACTATGTCCTCGACCTGGCGATGATATTGTCTGGGGCTTCTTCAGAGTAGAAAATTCTTCCATCCTAGTTCAAGGCTGAGGATGGCTAACACAACAGGTTATCAGCTTCCGGTTGTTCACGTCACACGGTTCTCCCCGGGTGAGGTGGCCGTGGGCAGGTCACAGTAGTCAGTCTGGCCTGAGAGGCAGGCAGGGGACTCCGGGGCACGGAGCCCCTGGGCCATCGTGGAAACGGGCCCCATGCCCTGAGCTCAGGAGCATCTCGGAGCTGTACGAGGGAGGGGTGGGGATGTGGGGACCTGCTTTGCAAAGTTCTGGTGGGAATGGATGTGAGGAGGGGGATGGGGGCTAGCTGACGCCGTGGAGTGAGAAGACACAAAACAGGATCTGGGGAGATTTAAAAACCAGGAGCAGCTTGACTAAATCTGTACCCTTGGGGTGTTTGCTCAGAGAGAGCGAGTTAAGGACTGAAATTCCCCCGCTGCTTTGAAAAACTGTGGTCTTACAGGCGGAAGACACAGGCCTTTCAGATACCTAAGCTAGACTCACGGCTAAAAGAAGCCCAACCATTTCATTTTCCTGCCTTGGGAGTGAGGGGGGGACATTCATGTCCTTGTGACCCCGCCAAAAATCTTTCTTTTCCCCTGAGACCATGTGACCACAGCTGGCCTGGTAACCTGGCCGCCTGCAGGCAAAAGAGCCTTCAGCACCCGTCCCTACCCTCCACCTGCTCCACCCCGGCAGACATGGATTCGTCCCAAATCTCCACAGCGATTTTCTGTGGTGACTCAAGCTCTTCTCAGCTGTGTGTGGAGTGTGATTTTGCTGAAACTGGCAGGAGGCAGACATTCTGTGAAGACAGCTTTGCCGAGAAGTGTACTTGCCAAGCAATATCTGGAATTCCTCACCTTGCTGGTGGGACGAAGAGACAACCAATTAAAAAAATCTTTTTTCTACTTTCTTCAGAAAAGGCAGGGGGCTGCTGCCAGAGAGTTTCTAAGCTGACTATGGGACCTTATTCCAGGGGACATGAGGTCAAAATGCTGGCTGTCCCCGTGTGACTCACAGCCTCCTTGCTCTGTGGCCCTGGTTGTTGACTTTCTCTCCATGTCCCAGGAGGGCAGGCGGGAAGAAGTCTGCAAAACAGGCCTTCCCTCTGTTCCGGGCTCGTGTTCCATGTTAGACATCTCAAGGGACTGAACTGAAGGGTACGATGCGCCCACAGCTGGGACCAGAACCGTGGGGTGCTGCTATAGAGGTTGACTCTGAAGGACAGAGGAAATCTTGCTGCCTTGTTCCAGAGGCCACAGCTCAGGACACTAAATTAGGACACAGGAGCCAGTCTCTCAATGGTCTCACTTTCCCAGTGGGTTCCAGACGTGACATGGGAGCTAAGGCAATGCAAACCTTCCAAGAAGGACTCCCGGCTGTCCGAGAAGACACCTGGGTGTTTAAAAGCACTTGGTTCGCACCATAATCCAAATAATTTAGGGGGGACGAGCAGAGGCAAGAGATGAGGCTTCTCAACGTTCGCTGTCTCTTCTTCCTCCGTTTTTAGTTCCGTGCTTGCCAGCTGCAACCCAGAGAACCCAGAGGAGAAGTTTCGGCTCTATATGCAGATCATCGACTTCTTTAAAGGCTTCTGTTGTGTTAACACCCAGTTGAAAGAGGTAGGACAGAGCAGCGTGCAAGGGGACCTCCGCTGGCCTCCCTTAAGATCCAGTAAGGGCTCTGGAGGAGAGTGCGCGCTGGACCTCGGCTGGATCACGCCACCAGGGGCCACGGGCAGGGGCTGTTCTTTCATTCTCTCTGGCTTGCTCCACGGATGCGATTTCAGCCGAATGCATCCTGTGCTATAGAAGACGTCCAGGGAAACTGAGGGAAGAGACAGAGGGATGCTCTTCAGGGCAGACCTGAAAGTAGCAACCAGGTCCCAGGGCTTGGCTCTGAGTGTCGTGTCTCTCCTAGATGCCTTTCCAAGAAGCTGAGCTGTGTCCTCACCTTCTGAGACCCTGGGTAATGTCAGCTGTCAGCATTTAAAGGATAGTAATTTCTGCTTGCAAAAAGCTGACCGTGCAGCTTATCATAAGTAGTGGAGGATTCTGTTAGGGGGTACATTCCAGAAGCTTTCATGGGGGGAAGAGGTTATGCCTGAGCCACCAAGGGGCATAGCCATAGATTTCAGATGCACGGCCATAAATTTTCTCTACTAATCTAGCAAAAATACGTTGTTTAACAGGTAAGCAGTAATAATGAAAGCGTTTGTCTAAAAATAATTAGGACAATTTTCAAAAGGCTAAGGAATAACTGGGCCCTTTTCCCACTAATCCTCCATTGGCTTTGAGAATGGATTAACAGCACAATCTTTGCTTTTCCTGCTTTCTTTCTTCATACGGGGCAGAAAAGAAAGAACAAGCAGGTACCGGAGTTTCCATATAAAGCAGAGGTACTCAGACTTGAATCACCTTGAGAGCTTATTGGAAATGCAGATTCCTATTGCCCCAGCACCCAAGATTCTCATTCAGTGTTTCGAGATCTCTGTTTTGAACAAACTGCCCAAGAGGTTCTGGTGCAGGGGACCTTGGGCTTCGCTAGCCGCTGCTGTAAAGAGAGAAATTTCTTTCTCTTCCCATCCACCTCCCCCTGTCAGCTTCCTGCGAGGTGGTTGGATGAAACTTAATTGGCAGCTGTATTGGTTTTCTAGGACACTGTAACAAATTACCACAAACTTGGTGGCTTAAAACAATGAAAATTTATTCTCTCGTAGTTCCGGAGGCCAGAAGGCCAAATTAAGGTGTCGGTCCTCACGGCTTCTCTGAAAGCTCCAGGGAAGAACCCCTCCTTGCCTCTTCCTTGCTTCTGGTGGCTTCTTCAACCTTCCACACTCTTTGACTTACAGCTGCATCATTCCAGTCACTTCTCCTTTATGTCTGTCTGTCCCTCTCATCTTCTTATAAAGACACCAGTCATCTGGATTAAGGGCCCACCCTAAATCCAGGATGAGTTCATCTTGACGTCCTTAACCGATTCTATCTGCAAAGACCCTATTGCAAAATAAGCTTCCAGGTGGACATGAATTCGTTGGGGGCAGGAGTAGGGGGAGACACCATTCAACCCACTTCAGCACCCAATTCCAGCAGACATCTCCCACAGCCTGTTGCTTTTGCAAATCTGCAGCTTAAACATGCCTCTGACTCCATTTTCAGAGGCTTAAGGAACCAGAACATTTTGAACAACATTCAAGCACCTTGTGTGACAGAGACTTGAGCATGTGGTTCCCATAAGACGTTTGGCTTCCCAGGACCCTTTACATGCTGGTGCCCCATGCCCCCTGGCCCCCATCAGTAGGGCACAGAGAATGAGGACCATTCTCCAGAGCTTGAAAGCCTTCGTCTGTAGACTCATCTCCCAATCGGGCCATCACCCTTGGGACCAGGTCCTACATTCACGAGACAGTTGACTGGGGAGGCTTCCAGGGCACAGGGGACTCAAGCCCAGACCAGCAGGACTAACAAACTACAGGGGTCATTTCCTGCTGGGGCGGGGAGAGACAGGAAGAGCCAAAACTCTGAAACATACTTTTAGTGGAAAAGGTAATGGGGAGTCAGGGAGGTTAGCTGAGGTTCATTGGAAAGGAAATGAGAAACCCTTACTAAACAAACATAATGTTGCTTCTTTAAAAAATTGTCTCCTCATCGCTAACAAAGAATACTTAGTCTCTCTACCAGTGTCCCTTAGTTACTACCCATGCTCCTTCCCCAAAGGCAGCTATCATTACCATTTCTTGTACAGGTGTCCAAAGACACCCTACGGGTAGTTAACATGCCTTCAGACACGCATGGTAGTCTACCAGGCACATTGCTTGTACCTTACCCCTTTTAAGTAGTGTATCCCACAAATAGAGAGTGATCACTTTCCTTTTTTTGAAACGGCGGCTTGGTATTCCATTGGCGCGTGTGCCAAGCTGCAGGTTACTACCCTCTCTTCATGGGCACTAAAGCGTTCAGATTTTTAAAGCTTTCCCCTGGCCAGAAGCTGGCAATGAAGATGCAGCTGAAGAGATGTGGGGCGGAGACTGAAGGGCATCCTGAGATAGTGGGGCCTCCTCATCTGCCTGGGGCCAGCAATCCTTAAGGAGAGATTTAATCCTCTTCCACCCCGTGTTTTGCAGGAACCGGACCTTCCCACGGATGATGAGATAATAATGCTGAGGTGCATGGAGACCTTTGACGATGAAGATTTGTGATGCGGAGGGGCTGGGAGGGGAGGGCGTGAATGAGGTGGACAGTTTCCGAGTTTGCACGTCGGCAGCCAAGGCTGCACCTGCCTCAGCCTCTGGGGCATTTTGGATGGATTGTTGCAGAAGTATTTCGATGGCTTTAGTTTGTGATTATTAAAAAGTGTTAAGAGTAGCGTGGCTCCATGATGGTCTTTCAGGGTTGTTGGGTGTAAGGGGCTGGACCGCTGCAGGGCACACACCTGCTCCCACTGTGCTCCTATTCAGGGGTAACTGGGTACAGCGGAGGCTCAGGCCATGAGCCTTTCAAGAAGAGGACAAGCAAGATCTATCCCTGGAGGTGCCATGACACCTTTTAGCACACTCTGGGTTCGGGGTGGTAGTCTAATGGGTTCTAGAGAGTTCTGGAACCCGTGCACTCTACATCTGCTGCTTCTGGTAATAAAGACTCTTGATGGAGTCCAAGCCAGATCCTGCAGTGTTCTGAGTGCTTTCTGGTGAGGATCCTGGACAGAGTGTATAATGTCCCTGGGTGTGTACACTGAGTGTGACATTTGGTCAAACATTATTCTAGCTGTTTCCATGAAGGTATTTTTAGATGAGATTAACATTTAGATCAGTAGACTTTGAGTAAAGCAGATTACTCTCCACAATGTGGGTGGGCCTCGTCCCATCAGTTGAAGGACCAAATATACAAAAGATTGACCTCCCCTGAGGAAGAGGGAAATCTGCCAATGACTGCGCTCAGTCTTGA